CTGCAGTTGTCATCTTTCACTATCAGAGCCCGTCACGTCATATCATAAGATCACAACTATCTTCGTTGTGAGATCCTGTTTCGCATAAGACTCCAGGTACTTGTCGTTTCCGTTCACGGGTGTGTTCTCTCTCGCTCACCGAGGACGCCCTCGGGAATCATTGCGGCAGCGTCATATCCGCATCCGGTCCGAGTCCTCCCCTTCCAGAGCTTCTAGGTGGCCGCATCATGCGTTCATGCATCACAGAGGCCTCGTGTACGTTATACCGGGCAGCTAGCATGTGGTCGGCACCCAGTCTCCGGCAGCACCCGGGCAATCTAAAGGGGTGATCCCATGGGTTTCTTGGGGAGTGGGAGTATGGGGAAAGGGGAGGGGGGGTGGGGGCATGGGGGTGGGTGGAGGGGGGGCATGTGAGGGAAACTCATTCATATGGGTTCTTGTACGTGTGTGTGGTTGTGTGATTGTGTGGATGTGTGCGTGTGCATGTATTTATGTGTGCGTGCGCTTTCGTATGGGTGTGGTGACTGGCCGACTCGGTGCTTTGGCGCGTGGGTGGAGGGGGGTAGGTGCTGGAAAGACGGTAAGGGCTTCCTGGCGCTGTTTGCTTACCATCGGCCTGACTTGCTCCCTTGGAACACGGTGGCGGAGCTGGACTCGTCGTCAGATGCTGCCTGCCTTCGTCGCATTGATCTGGCGTTCAAGACTGGCGAGCAGATCGGTGTCGAGGCTATGATGGATGCCGAGGATGTGTACGTGTGCCAGGACTCCAAGTGCATCATGCTGTACCTCGCCATGGCCTTTCGCTTCTTCAAGGCCAACCCAGGAAACCCGACGCCGGTCAACCCGCTGCCGCCGAGCGCGTATGCACCGCCATCGGCTGCCAAGACGCCGGCTCCATCGGCAGCTTCCAAGGTCGTTGTCAGGAAGGGCGGTCCGCGTGGAGCGGCGCTCGCGCCACGGGCAAAAGCCGCGGACGCATGTATCGCTTGCGGCAAAAAGGTGTTCAAGATGGACAAAAAGGTGAATCTCAAGCATCCACCGCGCCTCTACCACAAGCCGTGCTTCAAGTGCGCCGACTGCAACAAGATGCTCGACGAGCGCACGTACAAGGTCCACGCTGCCTCGGACACCATTGTCTGTGCCCGCCACCTGCGCGCCCGTGAGCGCGAGAACAAGGCTGCGCCGGCAGCTAGCGCGACTCCTGCTCCCGCAGTTGCACCCATACCTGCACCAGCACCCGCGCCAGCACTTACGCCCGTCACGCCGGAGCCCAAGCGAGAGTGCGCCGAGTGCCGCATCAAGCTCACCAACCTCACTGCGTACGTGCTCGACGGACGCGACCTCTGTGGGCGGCACCATCGCCAGGCCATGGCCCAGCCAAGTCGGGTGGCCAAGCCCGAGCCGGTAGCCGAGTCGACTACCCGCGCCGATGTCTGTCCGGCGTGCTCGCGCAAGATCTACGTTCTCGACGCCAAAGCCACCATCGAGGGCCGCGAGTTCCACAAGGCATGCATGGTGTGCGCAAAGTGCTCACGGGCACTTACTCAGATCTCAGCTCGCCTCTCTCCAGCCGGCGCGCTGCTCTGCAGTCGCGACTACCGCTCGGCGCTGAAGGCTGAGTCCGAATCAGCGTCGCAGCCGGCGCCTGCTGTTGCTACTGATCCCAAGCCCGCGCCTCCTGCCAAGCCCAAGTCTGAGCCCGAGCCCGAGCCCGAGCCCGAGCCCGAGCCCGAACCCGAACCCGAGCCCGAGCCCCCTGCGCCGACTGAAGTCGAGGTCGGCACTTGTCCGGCCTGCAACGCCACCATTGTCACCACCGACTCACAGATTACCTTTGAGGACGGCTTGTATCACAAGGCGTGCCTGGCTTGTGCGGGCTGTGGCAAGGCCCTGAGCGCTGCTATGGCTCGTGTCCACAGCGGCGTGATTCTGTGCGGGCGCGACTATCGCGCCGCACTCAAGACTGATCGCAGCCAAGCCAAGCCCGACCCCAAGCCTGAACCCGTGGTCGAGCGGGTGGCCGAGGCTGTAGTCGAGCGGGTGGCTGAGCCGGCAACTACTGCCGCCGTTCTCGGCACCTGCACCGCCTGCGCCAAGGAGGTGACAAGCGACGACAAGAAGATCAAGTTCAAAGGCAGGCTCTTCCACAAGACCTGCTTTGTGTGCAGTGCCGATGGGTGCGGTACCAAGCTCAAGAAGGCTGTTGCACATCTGGTTGGCAACGCGGTGCGCTGTGCCAAGCACAAGGACGCTGGCGCAAGTGCTGGCAATGGGGCTGCCGCCGTTCTCGGCACCTGTACCGCCTGCGCCAAGGAGGTGACAAGCGACGACAAGAAGATCAAGTTCAAAGGCAGGCTCTTTCACAAGACCTGCTTTGTGTGCAGTGCCGATGGGTGCGGTACCAAGCTCAAGAAGGCTGTTGCACATCTGGTTGGCTACGCGGTGCGCTGTGCCAAGCACAAGGACGCTGGCGCAAGTGCTGGCAATGGGGCTGCCGCCGTTCTCGGCACCTGTACCGCCTGCGCCAAGGAGGTGACAAGCGACGACAAGAAGATCAAGTTCAAAGGCAGGCTCTTCCACAAGACCTGCTTTGTGTGCAGTGCCGATGGGTGCGGTACCAAGCTCAAGAAGGCTGTTGCACATCTGGTTGGCAACGCGGTGCGCTGTGCCAAGCACAAGGACGCTGGCGCAAGTGCTGGCAATGGGGCTGCCGCCGTTCTCGGCACCTGTACCGCCTGCGCCAAGGAGGTGACAAGCGACGACAAGAAGATCAAGTTCAAAGGCAGGCTCTTCCACAAGACCTGCTTTGTGTGCAGTGCCGATGGGTGCGGCACCAAGCTCAAGAAGGCTGTTGCGCATCTGGTCGGCAACGCGGTGCGCTGCGCCAACCATGTCTCGGACCCTGAGCCGGCCATCGCAGTGCCCGCTCCCACCGCCACCCCGGACGTTGTCGAGCCGGCTATCGCAGAGCCCGCTCCTACCGCCACCCCGGACGTTGTCGAGCCGGCTATCGCAGAGCCCGCTCCTACCGCCACCCCGGACGTTGTCGAGCCGGCCATCGCAGAGCCCGCTCCTACCGCCACCCCAGACCCCACCGATCCCGCCATCCCGGACCCTCAACCAGACACCACAGCAGATGCGCCCAAGACCCGCAAGTGGAAACGCGGGTCGGGTGCGTTCGGGTCCAATCCCGCTCTCCAGCGTCTCAAGCAGCGCCAAGAGGCCGCGCGCAAGATGCGCGAGGCGCAGGCAGCAGAGGCAGCCAAAGCCGAGGCTGCGCCGACAGCAGATGTCGCCGGCGACGCCGATAGTGACGCTGCGGTTGACCAAGAACCCGAGGCCTCGCCCAGCGCTACAGCAGTCGCCGACAAGGCATCGGCCGACGCGGCGACGCCGACTCGCAATCGCTCTACCTCGATCCGCTGGTCGCTCACGCCGCCCAGCATTCACGAGTACGTCCGCGGTGAGTCGTACACTTGCTCCGACGACGACACAGAGAGCGAGTACGAGTCGACTTATGAGTATGACGAGGAGATCGAACTCCCGACATCGCTGCCCGAGGCGCTGGTCGAGCTCGAAGAGACCAAGGCCCGTGTTGATGCCGCCAAGACCGCCGGCGAGCCCGTTGAGGAGCTGATGGACCTTCTGCTCGACCTCAAGCAGCGAGTCCGCTTCCTTGAGAAGGAGGCTGAGGCCGAGGCCGAGGCCGAGGCTGAGACAGCCGATGCTACCGACGTACTCGGCTCCGCAACGCCTACCAACGCCGGCACCAAAGCGCCTGCCCTTGACTCCCCCGCCACCACAGACGACGCACCCAAGACCCGCAAGTGGCGCCAGGGCGCCTCCGCGTTTAGCACCAACCCGGCCCTGAAGCGGCTCCAACAGCGTCGTGAGCTGTTCCGCAAACAGGCTGAAGAGAAGCGTAAGCAGCAGGATGCTACCGAGCCCACCACCGCCGCCGCTACCGCACCCACCGACAACGCAGAGTCCGCTCCCGAGACCGCTTCCTCGGTCGACGACGAGCGTGAAGCCCGGATCGCCGCCGCCCGCGCCGAGGCTGAAGCCGAGATTGCCGCCCGCAAGGCCGTCGCAAGCGCCGCTGCCAACGGCGACCGCATCGCGCTCGAGCCCAACAAGGCAGACCCCTCGGTCTGCGCCGCATGCTCAAAGGGCATCTACGCCAATGACCCCACGATCAAGCTCGCCAAGGACGAGTACACCCTTCACAAGATGTGCTGCGTCTGCTCGACTTGTGGTGCCACCCTCAAGCCATCGGGCACCAAGATCGAAGACAGTCACATATTCTGCCGCCGCCACCATCGCACATACCTCCAGCAGCGCGATGGCGAGGCGTAAACCTCCCTTCCTCTCCCTTTGCCACCGAATCCGCATCGTGCTCCCGTCCCCCCCCTCCCCGGCCGCCGAACACCGATCCAGCGACCGTCGTCACCCTGACTCACCGCCACCTGTCGCCATACACACCCCGACCATGCAAACCATAGCCGCCCGGTTTGTACGAGCATGTGACACCGGTGACACTGAAGGCGCCCAGCGGATGCTGGCTACAGCAGAGGTGGGCTTTGACGTCAACGCGCTGGTGGCACTCGCCTGGCGACCGGCGGTGAAGCAGCGGACATGGAAGGCATCGGGCGTGCACTGTGTGTGCGAGCACGGCCATCTGGAGCTGCTGAAGCAAATATGCGAGGACTTGCCGAGCCATACCGAAGCGGTTGATGTCGATCGTGGTGACTCGTTCGGCTTCACCCCGCTCTGCCTCGCCGCCTACTACGGCCGCTTCGACGTCGTCCGCTACCTGGTCGCCCACGCCGGCGCCGATGTGGAGCGGACGACCAAGAAGGGCTTCACTGCCCTCCTCTTTGCCGCTCAGGAAGGTCACTTTCGCATCGTCCGCTATCTCATTGCAGACGCTGGCGCCAACGTTGCCGTCCGCGCCATCGAGGGCCAGACCCTCATCTACATCGCCGCCATGAAGGGCCACCTGACCATCGTCAAGTTCCTTATGGACGCCGTGGGCCCAGCCGTGCTGGACATTGCTGTCGGCGAGAAGAACGGGTTCACCGCCCTCCATGTCGCCGCCCAGCAGGGTCAGCTCCACGTCCTCCGCTACCTCCTCGATCGCGTGCCGGAGCTCCTCAACGTCAACGTCCAGTCGTCGTTTGGCTCAACTCCGGTCTACCTCGCCGCCAAAAAGGGCAAGCTGCTGGTGGTGCGCTACCTCGTTGAGCACACCGACGCCGACCTGACCATTGCCACTGACAAGGGCTTCATTGCCATCCACATCGCAGCTCAGGAGGGCCACCTCGCCGTGGTGCGTTACCTCGTCGACGAGGCAGGCATCTCGGTCGACGCCCTCGCACAGCAAGGACAAACACCGGCATACCTCGCCGCCTTTTACGGCCGGCTTGACGTCCTGCGATTTGTCGTCTCGCGCGGCGCCCTACTTGACCTCCGTGAGCGCTCGGGCTACTCGGCCCTACATGTGGCGGCGTACGAGGGCCAATTGGACGTTGTCAAGTTCCTGGTCGAGGCCGCCGGCGTCTCGCCGAACATCCTCACCTCCAACGGACAGTCGCCGTTGTACATCGCCTGCAAGAAGGGCCGGGTCGCTGAGGCCGGCTTCCTGCTCACACACCCGGACATCGACGTCGAGCTCGCCCAGCGGCAGGGCTTCAACCCGCTGCTCATTGCCGCCCAGGAAGGTCACCTCGAACTGGTTGGCATGCTCGTAGCCGCAGGCGCCGCCCTCGACGCCACCACGCTCGACGGCCAGACCGCTCTCTACATCGCCTGCAAGGACGATCGGGCCGATATGGTCAAGCTGCTGCTCCACGAGCACCACATCCGCTCTGTCCCCGCTCGGCTCAGTCCCGCCCGGTCGATTGCCCGCAAGAAGAGCGCGTCGACCGCGGCCGCCATCCTTGACTGGTACATCGCCATCCAGACCCTGACCACCGGCTGGCGGCCCGAGTGGTTCTTGTGGCTCCCGCAGCCGGTCCGTGCCGCCGTCCGCTCGGTGATGCTTGTCATCGAGACTCGCCCGACCTCGGCGTTGTACATGCTCCGCGGCCACGACGATGCCATCCACACCTTGCTCTCGTGGCTGGTCACTCCCGGGGGCTGGGGCGTCTACAACGTGGCTCTCGCCGAAGAGACGGTGCTGTTTGGCGACGGACCCGACTCCACCTTCTCGGCCCCTACCGACGCGTCCACCGCCATCGTGCCCGACGACGCCTGCGTCCAGCCCAACGCCAGCACGTGAACCAGGTCATGTTCAGAGGCTTAGATCAACCATGGAATGACTCGATGCGGGACCCGGAGCTCGTATGCCCTGTACATGGCTGCCAGCCGCGGCGGGCCGCTGGTAAACGCAGCCTCGTCGGCGGCGACACCGACCACTAGCTGCGAGCCCAGGAGTAGCGCCAGCGCCGTGTACAGCATCACCGGACACACGCCCTGGTTGAGGGCCACAAGCGCCACAGCGCCGACGCCTGCATGTGCCAGCCGGACTGGATGCCGGATGATGGAGAACGGCGTGGCGTACGGCATCCGCCACGGGCGCTCGCGTCCGGCCGCCGCCGCCGTTGCTGCCGCCGCCAGCGACCAGTTCATCGTAGCCGCCGCCGCCTTGCGAAGCAGTAGGCTTCCAAGGCCGACCACCGCCAGGCCAGTAAGAGTGACCGAGTCGACAGCAATCGGAGGCAGCGGGAAGGCTGAGCAATGAGGCATCAAGAGCGGCCCAAGTGGCGGAACGACCGGGGCGAGGGCAGCGGCGACTGCCATGACGACAAGGACCGTCTCGAAAGCGGCCATCGTCAGCTGATGCGAGAGCGGAAGGCGGCGTTGAAGCGCATGCGTGTCGCGATAGACAAAGCCAGCAAGGGCCGTGTGGACCAGAACCAGATTAGCTGCCGCCTGAGCGAGCGGGATCGAGTACGTGGGACCAGCAGCAGCAGCCAGACTGGCCGGGCCGGGAACTGTCGAGAGGATGACGAGAACAACGACAGCTGCAGCCGTCACCGACAGCCCCAACCAGTAGAGCATTGGAGTTGGAGCAAGTGAGTATAGAGCGAGTTCGGGTCAAGTGGGTCCGTACCACCGCCACTGTCCGCTGCAGGGATGGCGCGCCCGAGTCGGGCGGGACTGAGTCTGTGACGAGGCGGGAAGAAAGAGAGGCGGGAAAGGGGTACAGCACAGATCCGAGCACAGGCGATTCCGGCCGGAGAGGGCTACACGGGCGATCAATGACTTGGACGGAGAGAAGCAGAGAAAGTGTACCACACACTGTGTAGTACAACGAGAGCTGATCCCCCCCTTCTACATCTCCATCGCAAGTGGAGGCTGGCGCTTCTCTTCTCATCGCTCTCCTTTGCCTCTCCTCCAGATCATGATCAGAATGCGTGTGCTTCCACATGTTGTGATGCGCAGTTGTTTAGATGACTTTCTGTGGCTAACGTCTGAGTGCGCTTTGCTTGGCGCCCGGCGGCTGCGGCCGAGGCGCTTGCCCGCCACCGGCTGCCGCCCCCGCCCGGCGGTCAGCAAGACCAAGCACACGCGCACACTGACACACTCGACTCGGACAGCACAGCAGACGGAAGGGGATGGACGAGTCACGGAAGCGGAGGCGGGAGGACGGGGCCAGAGGTGGTGGACAGGGACCGGGCGGGAAGAAGGCCCGTGGACTGGCGGCGACTGTGGTGGCCTCGCACTACGACGCCCAGGCGAGAGAGACGCTGCGGGATCGGGCATCGTCACAGATTCTCAAACTGCGGCAGTTCAACAACTGGACAAAGTCAGTTCTCATCGCTACCTTTCTGCGCTGGCCAGGCTTCCACGTCCTCGATGTGGCGGCTGGCAAGGGTGGTGATCTGCACAAGTTTGAGCTCGCCGGAGTGGCTTCCTGGACCGCTGTCGACATCTCGGCCGCATCCATCCACGAGGCTGCACGGCGGTACTCCAAGTCGCGCGAGCCGCGGGCCTTTGGCGCTCGACTGTTTGTGGCGGACTGTGCCGCCGTCCCGCTCTGGCATCGGACCACCCGCGCCCATCTGGTCAAGGTCGCCAACGATGCCCGCCCGCCAGCTCTTGCCGCCGACATGCGGTACCCGCCCGACTATGCACCGTTTGCCTTTGATCTGGCCTCGTGCCAGTTTGCGCTGCACTACTCGTTCCGTTCCGAGCGCGCCGCGCATGTGTTCATGGACAACATCGCCGCCAAGCTCAAGCCTGGCGGATACTTTATCTCCACCATTGTCGACGCCACTGTCCTCGCCGCCCGGCTAGCCAGGGTTCGCGGCGTCTCGCCGGGCGCCACCGGCTTCGGTAACTCGATCTACTCGGTCCGCTTCAAACCAGATGTCGCCGATGCCTTGATGGCCGGCACTGTTCCGCCCTTTGGCGCCGAGTACCACTTTACCCTCTCCGACGTCGTCGACTGCCCCGAGTTTGTGGTCGACTTTAACGTCCTGGTTGCCATTGCCAAGGCTCATGGCCTCGCCTTTTCCTTCAAGGCCGGTTTTATGGACTTTTACGCCCAGAACCGCGAGTCGCCGCACTTTAGCAACCTGCTCCGCCGCCTCCGCCTCGTCGGCCACAATGGCCAGCTCCTCCTCTCGCCACAGGAGATCGAAGCCGCCTCCATTTACATGGTCTGCGCCTTTCAGCGCCCGGGCAAGCTTGTCCTCACCGAGCCCAAACGCCGCGCCTTTTCGCAGTTCCCGCCAGAGGCCGTCGCCGACCTCGATCCCGCCGTCTTTGGCGTTGACATCCTCCGCCCGATACAGCCCGCCGCCAGCACGACTGCGGCTGCGGCCACGACGCCGACTACCACGACCACAACTACTGCTACTTCCTCGGCTCCACCTCCTCCCTCGACATCGTCACCACCGCCACCACCACCATCATCATCATCAGCAGCAGCAGCAACAACAACATCGACTCCCGGACCGTCGACCACCACCGCGCCGCCAGCATCGCAACCTCCCGCGCCGCAGTAAACCAAACATACCCATCTCCTCCCCAAAACTACCGCATCGGCTGTCACGTGCGTCATCACCCGCGTGTGCGCCTGTCATGCGACACGCCGATTGGCGGCAGCGAGCGCGACCTGCTGTTGCTTAGCCAGGTAGAGGGAGAGGGGGAAAAGTGAGACACACTCAACTCAGCCAAATACACAAGACCATTTGATCATGACTATGGACCGTGTGATGAGCCTGGTGGCAATTGTGGGAGTCTTGGCTGTGGTGCTGGTGGCGGAGCCGGTGGTGAGCAAGTCGGCGTTGGTGGCACCTGGCTGGGAGGTGGACGAGGTCAACCCGCCACCTGGAGTGCCAACTGATTCGGGCGTGCTGTTTGGAGCACGATATGTGCACAAAGAGAGTGGTACCGCTGCAGCAGTCTACCTTGGAGTCCCGTTTGCCCTGCCACCTACCGGTGAGCGGAGGTGGAAGTCGCCGCAGCCGCTGCCCGGCTCTGTCAGACACACCATCATCAATGCCACCTACTTTGGACCGTCGTGCATGCAGCTCTCCTCAGTCGTACCGCCCGATCAACAGTCGGAGGACTGTCTCTATCTCAATGTCTTTGTGCCAGAAACGGCTCTGAGTGGTGGTCCCACCACGCCAGTCATGGAGTTTATCTACGGCGGCTCGTTCGTCTCGGGCTCGTCCTGGACTCTTGACGGCTTCTACACTGGCCTCAACCTCACCCTCTCGGACGTCATCGTGGTGACCATGAACTACCGCCTCGGCCCCTTTGGCTTCCTTGCCACGCATGCTGCGCTCGCCGAGGCCGGATCCGTCGGTAACTACGGCCTCGAGGACCAGACGCTGGCCATGCAGTGGACGGCGGCAAACATTGCCGGCTTTGGCGGCGACCCGAAGCTTATCACGCTCTTTGGCGAGTCGGCCGGCGCCATTTCAGTCTGCTACCATCTTGCTTGGCACGCCTCGTCCGAGGCCGGGCTCTTCTCGCAGGTCATCATGGAGTCGCCGGACTGCAACACGGTTGTGCCGCTGCAGGCGGCGCTGGTGCAGGGCGCGTCGTTTGCCACCGCTGTGAACTGCCCGCCCGGCAATCCGGCTCAGCAGCTGGCATGCATGCGCAACGTGTCGACCGACGCCGTCCTGCACGCACTCCCGCTCGCGCCGCTCGGCACCGCCGACGGCGCATCGTACTCGCCGGTCCTCGACGGCAAGATTGTTGTCGCACCGCCGAACATGCTGCTGAGCAAGCATGTCGAGCCAGACGTGCCGGTTATCACTGGCACCAATGCACAGTCGTGCACGCTGTTTGTCATGCGGGTGACAGCAATGCGCGAAATGACTAGCGCCACGCTCGCCAAGCTCGTCGCCGCGCTCTGGCCCAAGGACGTGGACCAGATCCTGGCACACTACCCGCTCTCGCAATACTCGCTCGTTCCACCGGCTTCAGCTTGGGCACAGATACTTTCGGACTACATCTTTGTCTGCCCGACGCGGGTGACGTCTTCCATCCTCGCCGACGGCGGCGCGGATGCCTTCCTCTACAAGTTTGCGTATGTGCCTGACTGCGACATTTTCCCGCCGGACCTGCACAAGTACCTCGGAGCGTACCACTTTGCCGAGATTCCGCTGGTGTTTGGCAACCCGCCGCTCATTCCGCCGGTCCCGTGCACGTGGTCGCCGTCGGACCGGAACGTCTCGCTCGCCATGCGCCACATCTGGACTGGCTTTGCGCACGCCGAGCTCCCATCGTCACTTGTCGACTGGCCAGCCTACAACACCACAGCGCGCCCACTGTACATCATTGACGAGGCGTCATCGCTCGACCACAACTACCGTGGTCAACTTTGCGACTTTTGGGCCAACATCCCGCCGCCGTCGGTCATCGCCGACAGCCACGCCCTTGCTCGCCCAGCCCTCCTCCAAGCTCTCGCAACCTCGCCCGAGCACATCCTTGCGCTCATCGGCTGAGCGCCAGTAATTAGTAGCCACACTGCGTCCATTCTAGCCGCCACGCGGCGCAATGAACTCAAGTTTGCTCCCTCCCTCGTCGCTGCGAGCTGCGCGAGTTACCTCAGTTCGCGGCAAGTGGCAGGCGGCGCCCGTTTCCGGCTCGACGGCAGCCACCTGACTTGCGGCGAGTAGCAAGGGAGCGAGTCAGACGGCAGAATGGAACCAGTGAGCGTGGAGGGAGGTGTGGACGAGCTCAAGGCACTCTGTCGTGATTCCCGTACAGAGTGGGTCATGGGCCTGGCCGAGGCTGTCAACGGGACCGAGGTCGACGGGTGGACGTTTAAGAAAATGAAGCAGAACGTGGAGGTACGACGGGGGCCGCACCAGGGCAGGCCAGCAGCAGCATGGCGCGCGGCGGGGGGGGGGGGGGGAGGGGAGGCTGCAGCAGGGAGGATACTTATGGATGATGTGGATGATGGGTGGGGGGCGATGGCGATTTGTGCGTGTGCTTGTGTGTCGGGGGGTGTAGATCTGGGTCAAGGACATTCCGGACTGCCCGCTCAAGTTCTGGAAGGGTAGGTGGTGATGGTGACGGAGAGGTCGACGACGGTGAGGCGCAACGTTGTGGTGGGGTGGGGTGGGATTGGGTAGGAGCTCGGTGTGGCTGTGGGGGTTGGAGGGGCGTGGAATGGTGTGGGCGCGCGGGCAAGGACAAGATGTGGGCTTTGACATCCTGGCGGGAGATCGAGAGGCGCGGATGTTACTTCGGCACGAGATCGGGTGGACGAAGGAGAGGGAAGGGTACAACGGTTGTATAGGTGAGATCGAGCAGGCCCGGAGCCACTACAGAGCACAGGCGTACCAGACTCACGTGATGGCGATGTTGAACAGGGCGAGGAGTGATCAAGGCCTCGGCGCAGTACACGTTCGACTACATTCGTGAGATCTCCAACGTGCCCGAGTATGACAAGATGGCGATCGATGCCTACCATGTACGCAGAGGTTTGGAGGCTTGAGTGGGAGCGGGTGGGCGGGGGATGCGGGCTAGAGGGAGGCGCGGGTGAGTGACTCACCTATCGACATGCTGCTCGTGCTGTTTGCTGGCACAGACGGAGCAGTTTATGGACCAGTACGCGTTCCAGTACAACTCGTACTCGTCGGGCTTTCCAGGCGTCTCCAACCGTGATTTCATGCTGTTTGCTTCCGAGGTGTGGATGAAATCGGGCGACTTTGCGGTGGTGACCAACTCAATCGAGCATCCGGACTTTCCGCCGGCGCCCGGCTTTGTCCGCGGTGTCGTCAAGAACTCGGGCCTGTATGTGGAGGAGTGTGGGCAGGGAGATCGTGAGTGCATTGTGACGTATGTGGTCCAGCTCGACCCGAAGGGCATGATCCCGTCGTGGGTGGCCAACATTGTGGCGATCAACCAGCCGCTGGTTGTCTCCCAGATTCGCAATGCCATCGAAGCCCGCAAGAAGCGCGGCGAGAATGTCTTTGTGCCGCGCGCACCCCCTCCCGATTACGCTATCCTCGAGCCCGCCGAGTCTGGCGAGTCGGCGCCGATCGTCGCTGAGACAGCCGCCGCTCCGATCCCGGACAATGCATCGATGTACTCTTACGATTACTCGTACGAGGGTTACGAAGACGAGGGCAACGACGGCGACACTAACGTTCGCCGTGCCAATGCCAATGACCTCGCCATGCTCAAGGCGCTGGAGGCAAAAGTCGATGGCACGCGCAGTCGGGTTGAGGAGGCCGAGGCCACCGTCGCCGAGCTCGAGCGGCAGCTCAACAGGCTCCACGCTCGCGCCCGCGAGTCACAGCAGTCATCGCACTCGTGCTGTGCCATCCAGTAGCGCATTCCAGTTTACCCACTCTAAAACCTCGTACTTGGACGGCACTACGGCGTCTGCGCATCGCGCTTGGCGGCGGCGGCCGCCGCCGACGCCTTGAGGCGGCCTTTGAGCTTGGAGCCAAACGACTTGGTACTCGCCGCAAACTTGCGACCCATTAGCCCGGCCCGGCCCGAAATCGACGTCGGCGACGACGGCTCGTCGCTGCTGGGTGGCGCCGCAGATGCCAGCGACGCGCCGGCATCAATCGGTGCCGGCGTATAGGTCGCCGCTGTCGCTGTCACCGGCGCTGCAGGCTTGCGCTGAGTCACGGTACCAGCCGCCGGCCGTCGCGCAGCGGTCGAGGCCTCGGTAGACTCGACCGCCCCGCCACCCGACGCCTTCATCATGGCGTGGATGGCGGAAAAGTCAAATGCTTCGACGGCGGGTGCAGAACCAGCCGCGGTGTCGGCGATGTCGACGTCAGCGCTCGCGTCGCCCTGGCCGTCGCCATCGACGAGAACAAACGAGTCGCCAAGCGCATCGCCCGAGCTTGCTGTCGGCGACGGCGTGCTCGACGGGGGCGCGGCCGGCGACTGGGGAGCGGACACGAGTGCAACCTCCACGTCGACGCCAAGAGCTGCGAGGACCGAGGCGTGTGAGGTGTGGAGGCGCGACGAGACCGGGGCACCCGCCGACGGCGCGCCGGCATCGGTGGGCACCGAGACGCGGCCATGGATGAGATCGAGGACGGCGCGCGACGAGTCCGAGTCAAAGCCGCCGACGGCGTTGCGGAGCACGTTGTTCGGCTCGTCGGCTCGTCGTAGCCGCCAGGAAGCGGGATGCAGTCCATTTCGGGCAGGCAAATGACATCGACGAGTTCGGCCTTGATGCGGTCGACAATGATGTCGGTGATGTCGGGGATGTTGATGTTGTACGCGGTGCCGAGCACGGTGTCGACCTCCATGGCAATGTCAGGCTGCTCGTAAAAGCCGAGCCATATCCGCTGCGATGGCGGCGGCGCAATGTGGACAAGGACATGGCCAGAAAACCTCGTGATGCGGAGCGAAATGCAGATTGGGATCTCAACGGTAAAGACGGAGATGACCGGCTCGAGAATGATGTGGACACCACCGTGGTACTCAAACGCGCCCTCGACCTCGATGCGGCCGTCGGGCCCGACGTCCAGCAGCTTGGCCCACTGGAGCAGCGGCACGTTGGGCCCGATCTCAAAGTGCTTGACGTGGATGGCCTCGACCATCTTGGGCAGCTTGACCTTGGCGATCTTCTTCTCGATGAGCCGCTTGAAAAACGCCACCATTTTGGCGTTGTAGTGTGCGGTCCAGAACATGCGTCCCACGAGCGCGTTGAACCAGGCAACCGGGCGCACAGCGTCGGTCGACTCGAGGCGCGCAGCCCATGGGCCAAAGTGGTCTCTGGCCTTGGTCCGGAACATGGCATCGAGCGCCAAGCACGCATTGTCACCGAGCGCAACCGCCCGCTCCAGGGCCAGCATCCATGCTTCCTTCTCGCGAGCCGAGACAAAGTACAGGTCGACAGCCTCGTCCATGCCCCAGATCGGGCGATCTGGGTGGACGAGGCGCAGCGGGAACTTGGGCGAGAGCTGACGCGAGATCGACGTGGCATCGGCCGGGAGCATGACAATCTGCGCGCCGTCGACCCGGATCACGTCTTGGTGTGCTGTCTTGGCCGACGACGCAAACAGGACGAGCATGTTGTTGTGCAGGACGCCGTGCTTGAAGCCAGCAGTCGCGCCAGAGCCGGCCTCTCCGCCCAGCTTGGGCGCCCCGACAGGCACCGCCACAATGGCACCCTCAAACACCATATCCTCAGCCGCCTTGATCACCGCCTCTCCGGCCAGAGACCGCAGATGCCCCTCGGGCGACCAGTCGGACGCAGCCACCCGTTCCGCCCGTCGAGCCTCGGCAGCAGGTCCGGCAATGGGTGTGGTGAGCAGGTAGCGGAGGGCGGCAAGGAGGCCCACCACCGCCGTCAGTGCGCCCAGCACAAAGGTCGCCGCAAGTGTCGTCAGCCACCCCATTGTGTGTTGGTCTGTGGGAGGGGTGTGGGTGGCGGGTGGGGTGGCGGGTGGAGGGGGGGGTGAGGGGAGGGGGCTGCCGGGCTGCCGGGTTCCATGGTTGGGCAAGTCGCTCAAGTCAATGAAGCCCAATCATGACCATGATTGTTATCAGCAGCCATATGGGCAGGGGCAGAAGTAGTAGCATCATCAAGAGTAGAAGCATGAGATCATCATCATCCCCATCATCATCATCACCATCATCATCCCCATCATCCCCATCTCCATCATCCCCATCTCCATCATCCCCATCTCCATCATCCCCATCTCCATCATCCCCATCTCCATCATCCCCATCTCCATCATCCCCATCTCCATCATCATCCTGCTTGGGAAGGTATGGCGAGGCCCGCAACGCAGGTGCCACACAATTGCAACGCTACGACTGGCCGACTGCGAGCACCCCACACCCCACGCCCACGGCCACACAGATAACCACACCTGACTGTCTCGCTCATACCTCGGTTGTGGGGGTGGGTGGCCGTGCTAGAACAGGGTGGGAGGGAGAGAGTGGCTGGCCTGGGGGCAGTTTGAGCAGGCCGTGGGGCATGCGACGCCAGAGGTGGTTGGCGCTGCTGGCCCTTCTTGCTACTGCAGGAGTGGTCATGGTCATGATGGAGATACAGATGGATCAAGTGGTGGTGAGATCCCGATCGCCACGTGTGGCTCGGCTCTGCAGCTCGATGGCCGGCCGGCTGCGCGCTGTGATCTCCGACGCGCACTGCCCTATTGATCTGTTCCAGGCCACGGCTCACTATCCGGCACAGCTTGTACCGGCGACGGAGTTCCTTGTGCTACCGGACAAGGGAGCGAGCAGGTGGGCCGTAGTGAACCACCGCATCGATCGCGCTCGTAGCGTTATCAGCGCTTTAGAGGCAGCCCACGCCGGGTGCGGTGAGCCAAGGCCCGCCCTCACCGTCGCGTACTCGGCGTCATCGGGCTTGGTCTCGGACATCCGTGGGTACATCAACGGCTTGATGGAGAGCGCTGCGCGTGGATTGCCTTTGGCGGAATCGCGCAATGGCTGGATCTGGACGCCCGAGTGCGAGCTTGGCCTGGGGTGTGTGTTTGCGGGTACCGGGCCAATGCCCGATGGCCCGCACGGCCCGCTCCTCGCCGACACCTGCATATCGAACCAGTTTGTCACAGTGTTCAGCAACATGCTTGTGGCGCAGAGTCTGCCTCGCATACTGCATGGGCTCGAGCTGAATGTCAGTGACGAGCCTTCGTCCTCGCACTGGCTGCTGTACCTGCGTAGCATGATGATGTTCTGGATTTGGCGGCCGGATGGCCACATCACAGACGCCGTCGATGCCTTTCTTGCCGAGAGCGGTGTCGGCGACTCATTTATTGGCGTCCACATCCGTCACGGCGACGCGTGCAACGACGACGATGCCGCCTCTGAAGTGCGCTTTGACTCGCGCGTCTGCCTTGCTGTCGACATGTACCTCGACCGCGTCCACAAGCTTGTGGGTCGCTACCCTAGCGGCACCTTCTCGGGCATTGTCATTGTTTCGGACACTTTTGAGCTGAGAAAAATGCCAGAGGCCGCGCTGGAAGCGCACAGCCTCTCGCGGACAGGACGTCTGCCTGTTGCTCAGCTTCCAGCCTCGTTTGAGCTCTATGCATCGGCAACATTCATCGAGGAGCGGGCCAAGAACAACCTGGATACCGCCACAATCCGGACCATAGTCCATGAGGCAGTGATGGCAGTCGAGGTTCTGAGTCGGGCGAGCGCCTTTGTGGGCACCCTCTCGTCGGCCATCTCGAGATCGTCGTTCGAAATGATGGTCGCCCGGCGAGCCGGCCGCGTGCCGCCGTTCATCTCGCTTGACCTCCCCTACTGTGACTTTTTCGTCTCTCCCGAGGATTATGACCTTGATGATCGCGATCCGCAGCTCTGTTGGTGATTGGCTGGTCAGTCTGCACAGTGTATGACCAGACAGCTTGCTCCATGCGCTTGTGGCTGCCTGTGTGTATGATGTACGCTACAGAAGGGGGGGGGAACTGTAATAGAGAGCTCGATCTACACCGTCTCCACAGTGGTCGCAAAGATGATGTCGTTTGTGATGTTGTCGTAGACAGCGAAAACAAACGGCCGATCGGCCACAAAGTCGATGTTCTGGGGAATGCAGCGCGAGAGAACGGCAGTGGTAGCGGCACCGGCCTTGGTGCCGGCCTCATCCACCTCGATGACGACGTCATGGGTAAAGGCCGTGACACTGATCTGGTCATCAGTGAGGGTGGAAAAGTCAGCAGAGGTGAGCGAGAAGATGTCGTTGACGCCAGCCTCATTGAGGGCGGGAATGAGATTGGTCGAGGCGGAGACCTTGAACTTGGGGATGGAGGCCGTGATCTTGTACATACCCTGATGAAACTCGTCCGGAGTCACGCTCGTCTCCTGGCCGACACCATCGAGCACAATCATCTGTGCTAGGGCCTTGGCCCCCATAGCCGTCTCGTCAACCTTGGGCAAGAAGAACAGGCCGGAGAACGAGCCCGTGTTGCCGTACGGCAGCGAGATGCCTAGGTATGCATCATTGTTGGCGACCTTGATGCCCGGCAGACCTGCCCCGAACACGTGGTGCATCATCTGGCACGGGATGGCTCCGTTGCTGGCCTTGAACGAGCCCTCGGCCGTCTTGGACGCATCAAACGGGTAGCGCCAGGTGGCCTTGAGCGCCTTGAGCGCCGAGAGGATGGCAACCACGTTGTCATCGATCGTCTTCACAATCGATGTCACCATGCCATCTGTCTCCTGGGCAGCCCACTCGTTGACCGCGTCCGCGCTCTCCGGCATGGGCATCAGCGTAACGCCCGGAACGTTGGCCTGGAAATCGGGCTTGGGCGTGCCTTTAAAAAACAGGCCGAGCGTCGACTTGATGACGACGTCCTCATCCGCCGCGCCGCGTCGGCTGGCCTCGACAAGCATGGACTCAAGGCTGGCGTCGGGGCACTTGTCATCCAGAATGGAAAGCATCTGCGCCCGCGAGGTAGAGTCCTTGCCGGTGGCAGCAGCCACCAGCAGGAGGCCGAGGTCCAAATTTTGCGGCGCGAGGCCGTTGAGAATTGGAGTCGTGTCGCTGGCGTTGATCACCACATGGGCAAAGCCATAAGTCATAACGTGGTGCTTGGAAGACATGCTTGCGCGTTGTAGTCGTTGGGGAGAGAAGTGACGTGCTATTCGCTACGGTTCTCTGCCTAGTTGCCGGGAGAGGGTCTCTTTGGTTTGTGTATGTTTTCGCAAACGCGTGAATTGTTTTTCACAACGCAATTGACACATGCGACACAGTCCAGGGAGAGAGGCAGATGGGAAGTGGCCATGGTTCCCATGCTTGGTGAGCTCTACACACGCTACATTAGTGCGCCATGCTCGCCGTACACCGTCTGTCTGCATGGTTGCTCGCTGATCACATTGCCGACCTTTAGCCTCGTTGCCTGTTGGTCAGGGAGAAACAGCGCACTCTAAGCGCCGACTGGTGTAGGCTGTCACAGGACGTGGCAATGGTGTTCTAGAACGACGATGGGGTGTTAGGGCATGCACCAGCGTCGGTAGCACTTCCACCGGCCAGGTTGGATGAGGCAGGACACATCTGGACGGGTTGTGATGGCTTATGCCTGGGAACACTGGGTCACGACGTAGCCTCTGCCATGGCGTCTCCAACCAGCAACCGAGCCATACTGAGGAGCAAGCTGATCAGTGTGGGAATGGCTGACGCATGATGGCGAGGACGACTTAAGCCGCCAAGGTCAGTAAAAGTCAGAGCAGAGCGGCTGATTGACGCAGTTCTTCACCAAGGTCAGACGGTGTCGACGAGGGTGGGGCAGCAGGCGTCTCTGACACTTCATCAGTCTGCATGCGACCTAGGCAGGTCACGGCAATACTCCTCCCTCAGTGCAATCTAGACAGCGGAACAGTCGCTCTTCCAGCAACTGAGATCATTGATGTTGGTTGTAACCATGCCGATCAAAAGCGGCAGTCAAGCACGAGCTTGTAGAGCAGATCGTGCGGAGAGTAAGGGGGGCGGGACGGGGGGGGGGGGGGGGCGTCGCTCGTCGTACGGTC